GTAATGTTTCTGGGGGAGTATTAAGTTGGAATTGTTACTAATGTCAATATGTCAGGCTACTTGGTTCGAGTTATTTTTGTGAGGAGAGAAATAATTTGTGTATGTGTTTGTTTAGAGGGAACATTATAGAGACATATTTAAAGAGGTGTTATTTAAACAGAAACAATTTTTGTTTGGCATTATGATTCAGGTTAATTCTATTCATTGACAGCTTAAGATCTTAGGTATGGTTAGTGCCGTTCTGAATTATAACAGCGTTTTATTCTCTATGCTGCTTTTATATGAGATATGATGTCAAAACTGTGATTTTAAGAACTGTATGCAATTTTACTTTTGCTGTCATGCATTCCTCTTTCATCCTCTCCAAGGTACCCATCTCATAAATACTGCGACTTTTGTTCAATTTTGTTGTTGATTGTGAAATTTGATTATCACTCTTTTGATAAATTGTGTTGTTTTGGACTTTTGGTGGATTTTATATCAGTCTAGCAAATAGAAAATCCTCACTAGGGAGTGAGCAACTTTTAACTCATATGGCCAAGTGGGTTGCTTAGGAACTCAAGGAAGCAAGATTTATGCCTGTAGAAGCAGGGAGCAGTGTCAAAGTTGGAAGATACTGCAACTTGATGCTACCTTAAAGTCCCTAATGGCAGGATTCTACCAAAAAAAAACTACAGCACCAGGTAAAACTCTTTTTCTTGATATCATTTTAATGTTTTTATTTTGGTCAACAAAATCTCTATGTCTTTTGGGTTAAATTGTGCAAAAAATAAAGGATAGAGGGGAGTATTTTGCCATTAAGTTTTAGTCTTCCGAGTCCTGAATGGCTGGATTAGAATTTAGCCTTTTTGTCTTCTACAGGCTTGTGCAAAAATGTGAAACAAGAGTACTTGTCCATCTTAGACCGAGTTTAAAGATATATATAGCTTAATATATCAGATTGATTAGATATTTTAGGCTTTTAGCAAGCTGTCTGCTACTTTCATGTAAGAAGTTGTCACAAGGTCACAAGACATTTTGTTAAACTTACCATTATCTTTTGTCTATCCAATATCCAGTGTAAGAGGACACATCAAACACCACGAGTTTAGTTTGGCCAACCTAATGTATCAGGTTTGTAGTGTTTTTGTACCAACCTTAAATGGGTTTCCGATGTTTTCACAAAAAAATGATTTTGTTTCATTGAATTGGGTGCTTTATGTTATCTTTGGGTATGTTGGGTTTGATGTGTTTTCTCATGTGTTTTCACGATTTTAAGCCAAGTTTTCTTTGATCGGCATTCCGGATGGATCTATTTTTGACGTCTATGTGTAAGCTATGTACATTCCACCCTTAGACTTCTCTTTTGGCAGAAGTGTTTAGCTTTTGCTTAGTGGCCTGTCAAAGTGCTTTCTGACCTAAAACCACCACAGAAGGGGGATTCCTTCATATTCGACGGGCGAGGGTGGTCATGACCATTGGAAGAAAATGATTTGTATTAGTTTACTCTATTCTAATACCTGGTATGCCAAATAAAAATGAGAATAATCTCAATTTCTGGCTGATTGGAAGAATCCAGATAGACGGCGGCTGAGGAGAGAGAAAGAAAGTTGAGAGTAATTGGATGGATGGTTGTTTGTTGCTGGGAAAAAGGAGGATGCTTTATTAAGAGAGAGAGAGAGAGAGAGAGTGATGGTGAAGGTAAGCCGGTGTGACTTTAAAAGGAGGTGATAACAGCCGGGGACATCATAGACCCTATGATTATTGTAGTTAGTGTTTGTCAGTTTGTGTATGGCGTTACAGTAACTCAACCCAAACAACCCTAGATGTTTTCTAAAACCAGAAATATGATTTGGACAGAACAGAAGAGAAGAGGGAGGAATGGGAAATGAATCAAGATCATCAATTCTGGTTTTCCACAACCCAAATACATTTCCATGTCCCATAATCATTGCTCAAGTTCCCTCCTCGTTCTCCTCGTGAGGAGGGTTTCCTAATATTCTCAATAATTACATACCATTTCCCAAAAAAAATCAATCGTTGGCCTTATAAATAAATACTACTCGTAGAATGAAGAAAATATTGAGAAAATGGCTAATAGAGGATATATGGTGTTGACATATTCGGAATTCCCATACTTAGGAATCATTGCTACCTTCTGTAAAAATATGCGGGTTCTTTCTGTTTGCTTGTTCAATCTCCAGCGATTAAGCTAGAATGTTGCACCTTTTGTGATCCAATTGTTACTATTTGTTTGTAGATTACGAGTGAATATAGATTTTGAAAGCTGTAGCAGCTTTGGTAAAATAAACTGGAAATTTTGCCCATTTTAGCACGAAATGAACTCTTATTTTGCCTTTCAATCCCCTTTTTTTGGTGGGTAGATAGTGTTATTGCTGTTGCCTAGATCAGATACCAAACAAATAAGATTCCTAATACTTGGCACTGTAAATTTATAAGGGTTTCTCTGAGTATTGTGGTCAAGAAATGTTTTACCGTTGTCCAGATATTGATTGCCATTTTGGAATATCCTGGATTCTTAATGACATTGATTAACTCTTGTTCCTATTGATTAGCATTCTTTAAATGGATTGGTTGATTCTAAATATGCTGCTTGCATGTTTCATTTAGGACTAAGGCTTTGTTGTTGTTGTTGTTTTTGATTAATATAACTAGCAATGTAAGATGGTGAAACTGAAAGAAGGTTCTCTAGCAATTTGCTCTGTTTGTGCCTCAGTTTTTATGGTAAAAAATGCAAATTTGTTGCATTTTCTTTCATCAGATCATGTTATTGTGTATGCTTTAAATTATTATTATGAGAAATTTAATTTTTCTAAAGTGAACCTATGTGTTCTATTTTGGGGGTAGGTACTGGAGTAATAAGCTGATATTGCTTGTAATGACTAATGTCAACATGATAGGCTAATTGGTACGAAGTATGGGTTAATTTTGTGAGAATAATATGATTTTTGTATGCGTGCGTGTGTGTTTAGAGGGGATAATTTAGTGGCATAATTAAAGAGAGATTATTAAAAACAGCAATAGTTTTTGTTTTCCACGATGATTCAGTTTAATTCTATAATTCTGCTCATCGATTGCTTAAGTTTGTGTCATTGTGAATTATGACATTTTATACTCTCCATGCTGCTATTTCATATTTGATATGAAATCAAAATTCTGATTTTAAGAACTGTATGTATTTTTACTCTTGCTGTGAAGCATTCCTCTTTTATCCCATCTAAATTAACCCTGAGTGATGAGTTACTAATTGCTTATTCCTTCTATATAGCTTACCTATACACAATTTGCTTTGCATCATGTGGTTTAATGTTATGCCAATCTATATTTGCTGATGTTCAAGTTTTTATCACACAACTTAATCTATCATGCATCTGATCGTAATTCGTTTATGGTATCAAGTAGCGAAATTGGGATGCTTGAATCGGCTTTTGTGATTGGGCTCTGCAGCGTAGTGTGTATAAGAATGAGGGAGAGAGGGAGAAGGAAGAAAGAGTGAGAAAGAAGGAGAGGGGTTAGAGGGGGTGACAGGATGGGAGGGAGAGGGGTTTCTATAACCCTGTAAAAAGTTGGAGAAGAAATATTGTTAGGAATTTGCAAATTTTATTTATCAATTCCCAAGAAATTTAGTAGATTGGTGGGATTCATTTTAGTTTGTTTTGTGTCGTTGAAAATAGGGAGCTATTGCAACTAGAAGCTGGGAGCAGTGTCAAATTTAGGAGTTATTGCAACTGATGCTACCCTATTGGCAGGAATCTACCTAGAAAAACTACTGGACCAGGTAAAAGTCTTTTTCTGTATGTCACTGTATTGATTTGGTTTTGTGCAAAAAAATTCTTTATGTTTCTGGTGTAGATTTTCTCTCTTTAAGTCCGATTTCGTAGTGGAGTATTATTCTTCTGAGTCCTGCAATAGAATTGAGCATATTTGTCTTCTACAGGTTTTTGCAAAAAATGGGAAACTAATTGGAAAATCCTAGGAATTGTAATAAGGAGAGTTGTTTGGTTGACAAAAAAAATGGTGGAATGGGGGAAGTAGAAAATCCTAGGAATCACTTCCCACAAAATGTGGGAATTTAATTACCTAGCTCCCTCTAGGTAAATAGAAATTCCTATGGGAAGCAAAAATTCCTATGCAAACCAAACAACTTTTAAAAAATCCCATGAATTTAAAGTAAGCAATTTAATTCCCACAAATTTCAAATTCATGTGAATTTCTACTTCCTTTGTTAACCAAACATTACCTAAGATACTTGTCTATCTTAGACTGAGCTGAAAGAGATATATAACCTAATGTGTCAGATTGATGGAATGTTTTAGCAAGTTGTTTGCTGCTTCATGTAGCAAGCTGTCACAAAGTTGCAAGACATTTAGTTTAACTTACCAATATCTTTTGTCTATCCAGTAGCAAATGTAAGATGGGCAAAATCTGCAAAAGATACACGAGGAATTTAGATGATATGAGAGTACATACTAGTTGCGTTCTTGGTTTGTAGAAAAGTGGGGTTTTTGTAATTCGATTTGTGTTTTAAGAGTGCAATTAAATGGAGGGCGGCGACAGGAGTGTTATGTGATCGAAGCATTCCCTTGGAAGGGAAAACCAGTGTTGCTCTATGGTACAGAATGTTGGGGTTCTAAGAAAGAGCACATTAAAAAGATGGAGGTTACAGAAATGCGCATGTTAAGGTGGATGTGCGGGAACACTCTAAAAGATAGAATCAGAAATGAGGTTATTCGCAAGAAAGTAGATGTGGCAGGCATTGCAAACAAACTACGGGAAAAACGCTTGCGTTGGTTTGGGCTTGTAAGACGGAGACCTGGGTGCACCGGTTCGAAGAGTGGAAGAGTGGGACCATGGAGGGGTTAAACGAGGGTGAGGGAGATCGAAAATGACTTGGTTGGAAGGAGTAAGGAAAGATATGAAGTATATGGATTTGCATGAGGATGAAGCATTGGATCGTAAGGGATGGAGGAGGAAATTTTTTTGTGGATGACTACACAGAATAATCAAATTTGGTTCATGTAGCGGACCCCACTTATGGGATTTAGGCTTTGATTGATTGATTGAGTAGGTTTATGGAGTTTCCAAGTTAGTGGAGGGTATTCTATCTAATTTAGCACAAAGAAAGAATACAATAACATTAGGCTGAGAAATTTGCTATTTTAAGCTAGTAGGGTTTCAATTTGAAATTTGACAAAGGTATTGTATGATATATGATATATGATACATAGAAGTGTTTCCTTGATTTCCTCATTTCCCTCATTTCCATTCCCTTTTTTTTGTTACTCTCCGCCATGGTTCTCCTTTCTCCTTGACATTCCTTGACGGATCACAACTACTTTCAATACTTGATTTGGGAGTTTTTTAGGCATATTTCTTCTGCTCTTTCTATTCTGATTTTTTTTCCCTTTTGGGCATTCATTTCCTTGCTGAGTTATTGAATAAGAGATTAGGTTACCTATTGATGCGTATTCAATAGCATCAATATAGTTTGTTTAGTATCAAAATGTTTTTAGTTGATTTATTTTTGATGAGTCGTCTATTAATCGCGAGATTGAGTAACGTCAATCCGAAAGTTATGCGTGATTAGTAGGATTTGGAGTTTATCTTGGTAAATTATCTTATTTTAAGGTTGTTAGGATTTTATTTTCCTAGTATAAGATCAAGATATTATTTTAAGATAGGATTAGTTTTTAGGATTTTTATCTTTTATTTTCCTAATTGGCAAAGGACTGTTGCCTTTAAATATCTTCTTTGTCAAAGAATAAAATCAGTTTTGTGTTTTGAGTTAATCAAGTAGCGTTGCTATCGTGGTGCGTCCACTTCTCATAAGGTTGAGGCCAAGTGAAACCCCTTGTAGTCGAGGCTATCAAGGTTTTTATCCAACAATCGTTATTAATTATTCAATTAATTCTTCCACAATAAAATAATTAGAACCTCACTAGTGTTTGTGGGTAATTTTTTAATTCTTAGCATACACAAACACGTCACCTATTGAGCTAAATATAAGAGAAAAGGAAAGGCATATCAGGTTTTTTTATTTTTTATTTTTATAATTTTTTATATATATCTATTGAATTTTTGCTTTTCGTTAGTTCATCGATTTGTAGATTTTAAAAAAGTTTTACTCTCAAAAAGCTATTTGTTGTTTTTCTTTAACCGGAATTATGTCATTTGGTAATTTGAAGTGCTTTAACCACTTTTTTTTTTTTTTTTTTTTCCTTTTTTTGAGTTTAGCAATTTCCTTAATGACTAAATAATTTCTAATCTTGTAAGTTCATCCATCTATATTTTCTGAAAAATTACTATTATCAGTTCCTTTCACAGATTTGTTCGCCTTCGATGTGTTGATTTTTTTGGGTAATTTACAGAGCATTAATCAATTCGTGGTTTAGAAATAGTCCTTATTTGGTTAAGCCAACTAGTGAAACCAGCTAGTTAAGCTAGGTTATACGACCAACTATATTAATCAACTAATTACCAAACAGGACCACTGTATTTTTGTGTCTATCGATGTACCACCATCTATTTGGATTTTTATTCTTCAATTTATCAGCCTTAATCGCTTACATTTATTTGGGCTAGTCAATTAATTGCCCTTTTTTATGCTCTACTATATTATATGTTCATATCTTACTATCTCAGTTTATTGAGTTATCGTATAGGGGCTTTATATGAAGTTGATTGACTTATCAATTTGGGAGATTTTTGTGTTTGCAGTTTTAGCTATTGCTCATATATCTAAAATATCCAGCTATAGATATTCATCTACTTATTCACTTATTTCCTCTGTCTATCTTAGATCTTTAGGGAATGTTTATGCAGGTTCTGCTTTTGCCCAACTCTTGTTATTATGTATTATTGGTTGAATTTTCATTACAATGAACTACAAGTTGGGGTACCTCAGTTGTGTTTCTTAAATGCATATTTTAAATCCTTAAAATTGTTTTAACTTTTGTAGGACTATGTAGTAAAATTTGTATGCCGTCTTTTGGGTTAAAATTAGGGACTTTGCTTTGAACTCTCATTTGTTAGAACATAGATCTATGGGATTGAATAATTTGCCCACAGATTGATGGCAGTGAATAATTCGTTAGAACTCTATCTTAGTGAATCTTTCTTTTAGGGATTAGGATTTTTGTAGATTAAGCATTTAGAATTTATGGTTGTGAATAATTTGTCAGAATGCCAGTGAGGCTGCCCTCTCTGTTTAGAGTTATTTTGAATGTTGCTAATGATGTTTTAATCAAATCTCTCTCATTTTTTTTTTCTCAGCTTAAATGACAATGAAGAAAGCGTGTAGTCATAACCTTTCCTCTTCTGTTGGTTTGCTTTCTCAATTAGTGTAGAGGTAATATAAGATACCAACTCAAGTGTTCACCCATTACCTTTCCTTGTAAATAAATTTGGTCAAAGGAGGCAATATAAGATACCAACTTAAGTGTTTGCCCATACTGATTTACATAAATTTGTTCTTGGATAAAGAATGGCTGAAAGCTCAACAAATATCTGAAGAATGTATTATGTTGCTAAATGTGAGAATGCACTAAAGGGAATAGTCAACTTTCAAGCAAGAGATAATCTGCAAAGAAAAAGCATCATATAAACAGGGGCACTATAGGGTATATATTTATGTCAAGTTGTCAACCTACTTACTATCTTAAGCATATTTGACAAACATTGTAAATAACAAAACTTGTTAGGTTCTGGATTTTAGTTAGTAGATGAGAGAAATTTTTTAGCAATATAATGTTTGAATGGCTGCAAAGACAACTAAGCAGCCCTTCGCAACCCCCTTACCCTAAAGCGCAATACACAATTGCTGGTTTTTCTTTAATTTCTTACTTTTGGTTGTGGAGACTCAGGCTAAGAAGGCTCTTGTAGCCTGCTTCTCCCTTGCCTATTTCTACTAAGCAGCTCTACTGCTGTAAATATCGCCGCAAGCATAAACTTCTTCATACCACTTTTACAAATGCCAATGATAAGGCTATATATTAAAGTGTCGGTTAATTTCTTGGTGCAAAGAATGGGTTCAAGCCAATAAGATCTCTAGATATTTTAGTTACAGAAGCATATTTGAGTTAGGAAGATGCAATCTTTATATTTTTTCCCTCTCCCTCTATTTCTTTTTGATTTTTTCATTCTTTGGGACTGATTTGATTTACTTGGGTTTGTGCTTGAAGTAATGGTTTGCTTGATGTTTAAAATTAATGTTCTAAAAGTTGCTAAACGATGAGATACTTCTTAAGGTCCTCTTAAGACTTGATCTTGAATAATCTTTTTGTATTAAACTTGCAAGAGAATAGTTCCAAGCTTACCTATTATCTATTTTAGGAGTTAATAAGTTCTCAATTATTATCTTAGTCCCTGAGTTTTCTTGTAGACGTTGGGCTTGCTTATATTGTTCGTATTATCATGATTTGGTCGTTGTGTATTGCTAATGCTTGTAAACCTCTCTATTAGATGGTGTATGTTGGTTCATTAATTGGATGATTTTTGTATACATGTATTCTCTATTTTTTAATGTGATTTTTTGGGATGGGTTTTTGACCATTTTCAAGCTGTTTCTTGGCTTTTGGAACGATATGTTAATCATGATGCCTTATATCTTCATAAGCAGGTAAGGTATTTCTTTGTTAATTAATGGTAAATTGATGGTCAAATGGTTCAGAGTTCAAACACCTCTGATGTTGGATGTTGGCTGCAGTGCACGGGGAAATATTGTGTGGAGAAGCTCCTTCATGCAGAAGCCAATGTAAGTCAATCTTTAGTTCTACAGATTTTTACCTTTTTACACTAATTTCAGATAAATTTTGGCTATTTATTGAGAAATGTGAAAATCGTAGTGAAATTTGTTTAAAAAATGGAACATATGAGTATTGTCCTCATAATTTTGAGAAGATGTCAACTTTGATGATACTTCTAGTTGATTAAAGTTAAAATGTTTGATTCTTTGTGAGGAAGATTTTGTCCACTATATGCTGCCTATTATGGGTATTCAAATAGTCTAAAACTCATTCTTTCTAAGACAGATGTTTTTGTGAGTTGTGACCCAAAATTATAAGATAGGTTTTTGTGCAACCATGAAAGTGCTAGAAGCGAAAAACTTAGAAAGTGACTTAATTGGACTGTTCTTATTGTTGGAAGAGGCAACATAAGGAATTCTTCATAAAACTTTGAAAGTCTAGTTAGCACGCTAACTTATGTGGGTGTATTTTAGATGGTTGTTACGCTAGCTTACTTTTAACCAGTGAGGATGAGGTTACGTTACATGATGCATGGTACGAGGTTACCAATAAAAGGGGACCATGCATACCTCAGGATCTCAGGGTCTCAGCTAAGAGTGTGGTATTGTAATGTGGCAAGTGTATCCCAAAAGCGTTGTTGGGGCTTGGGGGTATCCCAAAAGCGTTGTTGATGTAGAAGTTCTGGATGATTGTTTCTTCCATTTTGGTATCTCTTTTCCTCCAGTAATTCTAATTTTTCCAGGAAGTGATAGGGCTTGTTAACCCAAGTCTAAGAAAGTGAAATTTCGGAAGCGCTATATGTTGCATTTGTGAAGTTAAGTGTGGAGCTATATAGAAGGTTTGGGCTTTTAACAGTTCACCATCAAAAGAATCCTGGCGAGAAGGCTAGGACCATGGTCTGTAGGATCAAACTACATAATGTGTGAGAAGAACCAAAAGCAAGTGTAATTGTGTAAGTAAAATTTATTATGTCTTATATGTCTGTATGTTATTCCTATGTACTTTAAAAGATTTATTAGGTGCTACATGGTATGAATTGCTTTTTCCAGATGGTAGAACTTTTTTTCAAGAAATTTGTATGCAAATGTATTTGTTACTTTGTCATTGACTATATGTAAACTCCAGAATTCTAATAATATGGCTTACCATTACAATTTTTCTTATTCTAATATATTTTGCCGATTTAGACATGCATAATGTATTATGACATCAGAGGATTTATTTATTATAAAAATAATGGTATAACTAATCACAAATACGTTACAGTATTAATTTATCATAACAGGAAATTTTAGAATATCCTAAATTACTTTTATTTATACATGCGATTATTATTCACGACAAGAGAATTGCGGTTTTTTGTTTTTGTTCCGGCCAGTCGGCCACCCTTTACTGTACAAGAGGTCAGGTACAATTGTACCATGCATGTTCCATTTTTTGTGTCTCATTACACTCTGTTTATTCCATTAATCAACTGTCAATAATTATGCTACCTCGTATTTCACTTATATACAACTGGAGTTATTCATGGTCAAAGATGTTCATTGGGGTGGAGGGTAAGGGAATCCCACCCGAAAGTGTTTCCAGTGGGGTTTGATCCCACAACCTCACTAGACCAAGCTATATGCTTGGTAACCCAATATCTAATTAGACTAGCATGGTTTACCCTAAGTACATATAGTACTCGTATTAAGGATATAAATATAACTACTCTCCTAGTCTCCTACATAGACAAACACCGTACCCTCCCCTTCCTAGTCTAATGAGTCAATCTCATTTACGCTATATGCGTTTAAATTTATCCTATTACACTTAAGAGTTAAACAACATCCTCTCACATGTTTTTTTACCCATACGCGCTACACATGTAGGTATGCAAGAAGAATAATATGAGCGAGTGTAATATTAGGAAATTAAGCCGGAGTCAAGGATAGGAAAATTCAATCATAAGAAAACTTTGGTTAGTCCTTGTTGAGGGTATCTTTAGTTTTGGCATTCTTCCTCTTAAACAGGTAGTCATATGTACTTATTAGCTTTAATGAACGTGCGATTAGCCATGTAAACATACACCAGCTTTTTCTTATTCAGCTTTCGTCAAGTTTAAGAAAAGCGGTTAGGTAAACAGTAGTGATTAGGTTAAACTAACTAGGTAATTATGAGCAGAACGGTCGTTCATCGAAATTTACAGCCCTTTTCATTTCAATGATAATATTATTGCTATTGATTATTGTCATTTTGTTGTTCTTCCTCTGTTGGCCATTTTTAAATATTAGTTGTATTATTTATATATTAACTTTGACTATAAATTTGAACTAATTTTTTTAAAGCAAACATTATCAAAGAGTTGAATATTTATCACCCGTCCATAGTTGGAATATTTGAAAAATGCATCATTTACCTTTGTTAATTACAAAGATAACAAAGGAAGTATTTTCATCATACTATTTTTTTTTTTCAATTTGTATTATTAGATTAGTGAATATATTTATGATTTAAGTTAAATATTGACAAACATGTTAGTCAAAGTGCTACTACAATTTTCTTAAAACCGAGTAAGCATGTTTAATTTTTGCCTTATCTTCTTGTTTATTGTGATGAGTGTTCAAATAAGGAAAGAAAAGAATGAATAATGAAAGCAAAGTGTTTGGATATGTTTGTGTGTATTATGTTGGATAATTCGAAGATTAAAAATGGTTTAAGTCGTGTGTTTCAACTGCTTTTGTTAGCATTGCCTCAGCCTCTTCCTCTTAACTACTTGTTGCCACCATCAAATTCCACAAAGAAGTTGTCATGTTTTGAGATTCGTTTCGATTGTCATCAGTTATGCATTTATATTTTTGTCCATTTTCTTAAGCATTTATCCGTCCATATCAACAAACTAATTATTAATTAAATATGTAACTATTGTTCCTTAAAGTTGGCATCCATGCATATATATTAATACGAAGTATATAGTAATAAAATTGATAATATTATATTGAATAGTTTAGCTAATAAAAACACTAATATTTTCTGTAGACTAGCGTTAAAATATGGCGAGTTCATCTAATCTTGTACATGCATACGAGTTATACGTTTTGTTCATCATTTAAAATATATAGACTTTGTAATAAACTAATAATTAGAGACCTTTATTATTAGAAAGAAATGTACATTCAATTCAAATTAAATTGCAATGCAGTGGCAATCTTATATGAAGTCTCAAACTAGTGGCCTAACTTGAAGTCTTGAAATACTAGGACCTCTTTGAATTCTAGTGCTATTCAGGTATATTGTCTTTGTTTTTTACAAAGTACACAACTGGAAGAAAGAAAAAAAAAAAAAAAAGATTTTCTATCCAATGATATATAAGTTTTTTTTTATTTTTTTATTGGTAAGAAAAAGGGGGCTCATTTGAGGGAGGAGATGAGGAAAATCCCTCAAATAAGTCCCATGAAATTTGATCCCTACCTAGACCTCAAGATACGAAGTGGGAGCGATGCCACTACATCTATCGCCTCAACCTCCAATGATATACAAGTATTGCATAAAACAACAACAAAGCATGGATATGCATGCATGTCTTACACAAATTACACCCGTCAAGCATTGTCAAAATTATTACGATAGTAGTTTTGTAATTGTTAATAATGTGTTGAATGTGGAGTGTTCAAAAGAGGAAAGGAAGAAGGATTCCCGTTTATAGCAGCCAAAAAAAAAAAAACAAAGAACTAAGGGTTTGTTTGACATTGTTTTTTGTTTTCAGTTTTCTGTTTTTTTTTAAAACAAAAAAAACAAAAATAAGAAACAGAAAAAAGATGTTTTCACTCTTCTGTTGTCACTTTTCAAAATTATCATGAGTTCAATAAATTTGACTAATTTTTTTATTCATTATATAACATATATCATATGATTTTGAAAAACAAAAAACAAAAAAACAAAAAACACAATGATACCCAAACGAACCTTAAACAAGACGTATAATTTGGACACGTATGGTTTGTGTGAATTATGTTGGAGAAGCTAAGATTAATAAAATAGTACATACTCGTAATAAAAAGGTTAAACTAACTAACTGCTCTTGTTAGCATTGCCTCAGCTTCTTCCCGGTAGCTATATCTTAATTGGCAGCATCAAATTCCGCAAATAAGTTGTCTTGTTTTAGATTCAGAGATTACTTTATTTAGATTGTCATCACATGACCATTTGAATCACCTGAAGTTTTTTTTTATTGTCTTATTATTCTTCTATATCATTTTTAGAAAGTGTCTTAATTATTATTAACTACTTTTATTTTGGCAAGTTCACATGGCCTAAGGCCATCTATCTTTATTAGGTCTAAATTAAACCAAATTTATTAGTCTTATTATAAATAATAAGTAACTTAAACTAAACTCGCGTCGGTTTTCATAGTATTATTTTGTTTTCGAAAACACTCCTTAGTTTATTACGTATGTTTCATTTGTTTTGGGGAAAATCTCTTAGTTTTTCTTGTCATAGATGATATAATAATCAACGTATGTAGCAATGATATGATCTCATGTAAGAAAAATTATGAGGAATTTGGTATCAAGTAATCAAATAAATTCTTCAAGGTACTAGTAAATTAAACTTGTTCTTTGCTTTATTTTGCCACTTTGCTTAATTAAATTATTTTACTTTACAATTAGTCTATGATCATTACACTTCACATATTACTTATAGGCTTCATTTATCAATAATTTTCCAACATGTCATGGCATGTATTGCATATGAATTGACATTGGCTTCGTCCCTCCATCTCCCCTAGGAGTGACCTTGGTTCGATCCTCACCACACCTCCCTAGGAGGGGCACCCCCTCGTATCTTACCGTGTAAAAAAAAAAAAGAATTGACATTGGCTTTTTTTTTTTTTTTTTTTTTTTAAAAAAAAAATTTTGGGTTAAAGCCTTTGTAGGCTTTATTCTCCTCATTTATTCATTATAACAAATTTTAACAAAATCAAGTAAAGTTTAACAAAACTAAGATTATATTTGAATTAAATTATGGCATAGCTAGCTCGCTAATTCTCGAATGAACCTAGATCTTTTTGTTCTATACTTCGTATTTGACATGTCAATCATCAATCCATTATTGAACAAGATGACAGTTACTACTAAAATTCATAGAGAATATTTGCTACTCTCTAGTATTAATAATATTCAAGATCAAATAAAGTTGTGAAATATATAATAGAACAAGGAACGTTCCATTAAATAAAAGTAAATAGAAATGGTTGACAACATCTCCCATGTTAGCTTCATCTTTAGCAAAACGTTGTTTTCTCAAAAAGCACCCCAAAACAAACATTTCATTATATTATAGAGCATAATCCATATTTTCAAAATACTTAGAATCTGCAGCCAATTACATTTGGAATTAATCAATAATTAAAGTACCGAAACCATTCCATTTGTTAGAGAGTTGAAGAATAAGCGAATAGCTATACATGCATGCACTTGTAATTGCCCTAAAATCTGAATAATGGAGCTGGTTTTTTTTAATTTTTTTTTATAATAAATGAAAATAATAATAAGCTAGGAATATTGGTGATACTGATGCGTGATAGTTTGGTATTCAAAGTTCATTAGTCCAATAAGGAGTAGATAAACCTTCTAACTTACTCCCTCTATATGTAAAATAACAAAATTCTGTATATTATTTTTGGTTAATTAAATATTGTTACACGCATTGAAATATATCCTAGCTGTTACGGTATAAGGATAATCATCAATATCCCATGATTATAGGAGAAGACTTGTTTGTTATTGATTGATAATCATCACCGCATGCCAGCTCGATAGACTCACTCTATTGTTGTACATATTAGAGTTATCTTCTTCCTATTTTGTAGGATTCTGTTTTACCTCTTTCCTCACCTTGTACTTCTATATATATTGTACATTATTCAATGAAGAAATATAACAACAACAATCATTATCACATTATACTAGCGACCTAAAATTGCTACAATGAGCAATAGTATAGAAATGTGTCATACAGTTAATTAGCTGCCATTTGTGATAATTATAGCATAATTAAATCTTGTTTACATTATTTGTAGCTTCTCTCAGCCCCACAAACTAAATTATATGCATCATTTCT